GGGGGGGGGGGGGGGGGGGAAAGCAAAGGCTGCAGCCAGGAGTTCAGGGGTCTGAGGTTAAGCGCCTTGAGGTTACAGGATTCCAGCTTGAAGGTTTTGGCTCAATGTCTTGTCTGTTTCTTCGTTCGCGGGCTTGTTGGGCTGGACAAGGTTTGAGGGCCAGGGCTTCGAGGGTTTGGGGGTTCATGCCTTCGGATGCTGAGTGATGACTTTTGTTAACTGTCTGGCAGATTTATGTATGTCACCGCTGCCAGGCTTAGTGCCACTGACGTGTGCCCTTGAGCAGACTCTCAGGTGTTTCTGATGCAGGACTTTTCAATTGACGAAGGATGTTGGCGACGTTATCTTGCGGCCTGCAGAAGCTAGAACCTAGAAGCTTGTAGAAGCTTGGATACTTACACTGTTCTTTAGTGTTCCGTTTTATACTATAATATTCCCCCCCCCCCCCCCAAGACCACCTATTCTAATTTTAGAGGCCCGTAGATTGGATCCTGTGCGGCTCGTTCTCTTGCAAGCCGGGCAACACTCTCAACGACACCGTCCAGTGAATTCCGCAGCTTGGGTTTAAAGGAAAGGTTCTGGGTTTTAGGGTCTACAATTCTCCGAAGAAGGCAACTGGTATGGGGAGTTGTGCTGCATGAGACAAATCCGTCTGAACGTACCTTTCAACAATAACAAGGGCTCCGACCAGGAACCGGTGCTGTAGAACTGCGCGGTAGATTGTGAACCATAGAAGCCCTCGACCCTCAAACACCCTCAAAACCCCTGCGCACGAAAACCCTAAATGTTAAATCCCAAAGACACGGTCAAGGCCCCGTAATGCGACAGATGCTCAACCCACGACAAGCAGAAAAAGCAAAACCACACCGCATGGCATTAGCCTGTAGCATTTCATGCCGTCCACGTACCCTGTATAAAAGGCTATTGCGCGGAGATTTGAGGCGTTGTACGCAAATTGAGCGGGTATGCGGTGGTCATGTTTTCGGAAGCCCTGGAATAGATTTCTGGAGGTCTGAAGATTGCTGGCGGCTCTGGCTGCTGAGGGCCTGTCGCAGAAGGATGACAACAAAAGTGCACGCAAGACTTTCGTGCATAATTAGTAATAGCGTCCCCGTATCGTCCCTACATGACTATACTACAAGATAGGGAAAATCCGTATTGAAATTGCTGACCCCCCATTAATCAGATGACCGGAAATGTCAGCTTTGTGGCTTTTGGATGAGCCTTCATCTCACTAAACTCGGTACATTGAGCCCCTCTAGAAACCCTACATCCTAAACCTTCTTTAAGACTTTACGATTGATGCTGTGGGAGGTCGGATGTAGCGGTTAGTGTCTCGAGCTTCGGAATTTGTTGGCGTCTTTTGCAAGGGCTGCCTCTTCTGCAGCTCATGCTGTGAAGCCTTGAAAGTCGCAACAATGCTGGCGATAGTTCTGATTCTTGAGACTAGGCCCTGACTTGGCTGTTCACGACGAATGGTTATACGCAGGCTGCTGGCACAGGTGAAACTAGCTGCAACTGTAAGAAGAGCTGCAGTGCTAAGGTTGAGTTTGAGAACACCTGCACATCAACACCTGTGTAGCGACTCGTATAGTCATTACGGCTACTGCTTCCATATGCACATGTTTCGCGTCGTTGCAGCAATCTGTCTTCTTTCCCCTGTGCTACACGATATTCATGCCGGAGATGGTCGCTTGATAGGCAGGCTCCACTTCGGGCTGTGTCGGCTTAAGTGCCATGCATGTTAAGGGTCGAGTTTGTCACTGTCCGCAGCTTGCCGGCTTTCCTGCTGGGCCCGACCTTGGGTTCAGTCCAAGCAAGCACCCAATGGAATTCAGCCTGCCACAACAGGGTCTACACTTCACGTGGCAGTGGTGAAAAGAGGCATGGCATGCAGGAGATTACCCTGCACAGACGTGCGAGACGTGGCAGCCGAGCAGTCGCGGCCTTGCTATTCTGTGCTAGCGGGCTTCGGACTCTGTCGGCCTTCAGCTCCTTCACCAATTCTGCACCTCGTGGTTGGAAGAGAGTCGCAAGGACTGCCGCCCAAACGAGCATGCTCTGGGCCCCATGAGCTTGTCACAAGCGCGAAAAACATGAATGATAAACGACCGGGCATGTTCTATTTTTAGATGTCCAGCCAGCTTTTTTTATTATCACCAGAGTCCATTCTTGCGGAATGTCATCCCTGTTGCCACTGCCCCAACAAGGACGGGGCATAGCGCAGCTGCAGAGTGCGCAAGCATCGAGGGGCTCGAAGCCCTGCAAGACGAGAGGAGTCGCTCGGCTTCCACTTTGTACGTGTGCAGCCTGTGATCAGCACCGAGTCACAGACAGGTTCGAAATGTCCAACCCTAAGCGTGATCGCCCGGCGTGAGTGAATTGCAGTCTGACACTTGTGGTGTTTGCGGTTTCAAAATATCAGGGTGACCAGGTATTGCTCGGCAGATAGCCATGCCACCTAGATTGACCTAGAAGCCAATTGCCAGAAAGAGTCTCCAGATTGAGTGGCTGCCTCATTGCTGCCGTCGCACCGAAGTGCTTGGCACTTTTGCACTGAACACAGCTGGTTCGAAGCGTAGAAGGATCCCACCAACAACAAGTGAGAGTAGCCTGTTCTTCTCCTAATCATGTAAGGCCGCGACGCGGCCTTCATGAAGCGAGTACGCAATCTGGCGCTTGAGGCCTGCCCGAACCCTTAGAACTTCAGGGCTGTCGGAACACACTTGGCTTCGACAGCTTCTTGGGGTCGGATTTGAGGTGTCGTGCTGTGCGTCGCGATACCACTTGGACCCCTAAGCCACCGATTGTCATCGATTCTCCCGGTAAGATAGAAGCTTCAGGTTTTCGCCTTGGAACTATATAGAGACAATATAGCGTTTGTTGGCCCTTATCCCTCTGACGGCCCGGCCCGAGGCCAGTATGTTGCGAAACATAACTCTGTGGGCTTCTCGCTCCGAGAGTTTCAGAGGATCCCAGAAGGCTACCACTCTTCACCAATTGTGCTCAGTCTTGAACTCGAGGCACTCGCATGGCCATTCCTCGAGGACAGGCAGCGGCTGGTTTGGGCAGCAGCTCTGGAGTTCGACGCCGTGCCGACGCAGGATGCCAGCGCTTGCATGCATAAACTCTTGAACCTTGTTGTAAGTGGAAAGAAGGAAGTATGTGTTCTGTCGATTACAAATCCTGTCCGCCAGGATCTTCCACCCTGGTTCTTCGAACGGCAAAATTTCACCCGCCGGCACCTAGGCTGGAATGGCCGGGGCTTGCAGAGAACTGTTGTAGCCAAGGTAACTTCTGCCCAACCTATAGCAGGTGTGGACCTCTTCAGCCTGGACGGCAAGCGCGCGGTTCTTTGTCGGGCAGGGAATGCCAGCCATGAGGACGTAAAGCGCTTTCTGCGAACAGCCAAATGTGTGAGTGAGGCTGTCAAGCTTCCAAAAAGTAATAGTTTGTGCTAACATCGCCAAGGGGGCCCTTAGGAGCTTAATTAAGGCCCGAGCCGGGCTAGTCGGTGTCTCACTCCTTCGCTTGCAGGCTTCTCAGTGCACGCTTTGGACGCTCCGCGGCTGCCAGATCACCGATGTTTCTAAGAAGTGGCTCCGCAAGTACGGCGGCCAGCGCCAGATCCTCACCAAGAACAACTTGCGGAAGCTCCAGCGGGGTGCTAGTGCCCGTGCTTCTTCCGATGACTTGTCATCCCCATCGGAACCACCACTTCGGCGCTGCCAGGAGGACTGCCTGGAGGCGTGTGCAAAGGGAGCCCGGGTCATCGAGATGGCCTGCGGCACGGGCAAGACGCGTGTGATTCGAGAGCTGGCAGCGCAGCAGACGGGAAAGGCAGCGCCGCATCATCTAATGTTGCACTGGCTTTATTGCTGCCCCCCTCCGCCCCCCCAATTTTTCCCGCCGATGTAATCTGCACGGACTTCCCGGGGTCGGGGGCGGGGCCATGGAGGAAGATCATCTCTGTGGAGGGGTGCGGGGGTCGAGGTGAGGAGGGAGATAGGTCCTGGCCCTGCAGAGGGCGACAGGTTCGCTGTGAAGTAGGCCAGCAGTAATTCAGCAAGAGTACAGTAATAGTACAATCGTAGTACATTCGTATAACCTCAGTAGTACTGTAATGGTACAGTGACGTTATTATAGTAGTACAGTAGTACAATACAGCCGTACGGAAGTACATAGTGGTACTCAAAAGTACAAGCGTGGTTCAGTGGTACAGTGACAGTACAGTAGTACAGTGACTACAGTAATCGCACAGTACGAGGGTTCAGGGTTTCCTAGAGCTGTTTAGGGGTCCCAAAATCTCGAAACCAGACTCCAATCACTCCAAATAAGATAACTAGCAACACTACAAACCCTTCATACGGAATACTGAGGCCTGCGAAGCGATTTTGAGTTTTCTCCGTCCCCTTGCTATCCTTTAAATTTATATTGACCCTTTGCAGAAAGGACGGCAGATAAAAACAAATCCCCGAGTCAAACAAAAAGCTGTATAGAGGACGGCCAAAACAATGCCGAAAAGTGACTAAGCCCCGGGAAAACAGCATTAAAGAGGGACACCTACTTGAAGCCAGTGCAGCATTAGCGGACTGGTATATCCCGGCAGTACATGTACCAAGACATGTCGCATCATGATGCACTGCTGCACGTTCAGGTCTTGGTCACGGTTCCATCCCTTGTGCTGCTCGAGCAGTTCTCCGAGGAGTTGCCAGACTTCTGCAAGGTGGGCACCCGCTACAACGACAAGATCGATATGGAATCGCAGGGCTTCGTGGCCGTCACGAAATCGGTACACCATTTGCAGGAACTGGAGTTCGAGACGGCGTTCGTCGACGAGGCTCACCACCCCCTGTCTCCAGGACTGCCGAGCTGCAAAGAGATCTTCAAGTTTTCAGCCACGCAGAAGGAGGAAGTGGACTTTCGGTACAGTTTGGGTGAGGCGATCGAACAGGAGGTGTTGTGCGACTACGACCTCACAGTGCCCGTGACGACCCAAGGCCACTGCTACATCTGCCTCGTGAACTTGCTGCTGTCGCAAGCTGGACGCTTTCGGCGCGTGCTCGCATACTGCAACTCCGTGGCAGAAGCCAAGCGATTCCAGCAAGTGTTGGAGATCGCCGGGCTGGCGGTGTGGCACATAAACGGGGAATCCAACCGTGCAGAGCGTGAGAAGGTGATGCGCGAATTTTCCCAAGATCTGCAGAAGCCTGTGCATGTACTGGTGACGGTGGAGGTCTTGGGCGAGGGTGTCAACATTCCGAATGCCGACACCTGCATGTTTGTGGAGCCGCGTAGCAGCTACATAAGCATCATCCAAGCCATAGGCCGGGTGCTGCGCCCTCATTTGTCGAAGCCCATGGCTCACGTCGTGCTGCCTGGGATTGCAATGCCTGCAGCCGCCGCATCAGCCGGCACTACCTGTAAAAATAACGCTGGCGCTGCATTGGGAACTGAATCCATGACGGGAGGGGTGGCACCTGCAGGTGGATTGCCACACACTGCAGGCTCTGACCATGTGGAGCATGTCAAAGTCCCGGGATCGCCCAAAGTGCATGGAAAGGGAGGCTCTTCCGGGCCTGCCACAGCAGCCGTGGAAAGCAGCAAGGCCACGGCTCGAGCGGAAAATAAGCAGAGCATCGCCAGCAAGCAACAAGAGCACATTTCTGTGCAAGCGAAGATGGGTGCAGGGTTGCCGAGAAATGAGCTCGCACGGAGCAAGCTGGCAGTGGATGGCGCGAGGACCCGGCCCCAGCCTACAGGGCATCGAGATAAGGGCCGCGCGGATGGCTCTAGAAAGTCGCCTTCGGCGTCTGAGCTGCCCTGGCCTGAAAGCAATGAAAGCGTTGGCGGACCCAGCAGCCAAGAAGGCAGCAGCTACAGGGCGAAATCAAACGACCGTAGCTATGACTCAGAGTCGCTTGAGGTTGCGGACTGCTGGCCAGACGATGATTCGGAGCAGGCTGCAGGATATCGAAACCGCCGCGCCCCATGCAGCCAGGTGGCGAGATTTTCTGGGGAGCTGTCACCTGCCTTCGAAGCTGGGCATGGGAGAAGGGGAATAGATGCAACATACGCGGGCTCGGGGCATCAATCCAACTCTATCGTGTTGAAGGTCCGTGAGCACCGCCAGGATCCCCAGCATCATCGTCTTGGAGTGCGCCCTACTCAGCCAGCCGCTGACTCCACCAAGCTCAGGGTGAAAACGTCCTCCCGCGACTCCGGGAGTGAAGGCACCAGCCAGCTTGACAGGTTCCTGGAGGTGATAGCGAAGGCGGACAGTCGGTTTGTTGACAAAGATGCCAAGCACTTGCAGTCTCGTCTTTGCGTGATGGACAGTCAGCTACAGCAGGGAGTGTCGCCCGTGCTGTTGGATCGCAGGCTACAGTACCAGTTGGCATTGATCCTGCAGCAGCGTGATCCGTGGGAATTATGCTTGCAAGAGGTTGAAACTTTTCTGCAGGATCATAGGAGGTTTCCGCGAGTGTTCACGAACATGCCTGAGGAGAGGACGCTGGCCCATTGGTTGCAGGATCTTTGTTTCAGGGTGAGGAGGCAGTTGCTCCCCGCTGGCAGGATGCAGAAGCTCCTGAATTCGTCGTGCAGCCGGTTGAGATCCCGTGTTGCAAAGTGGCTCGATCCGGAGACACCCTTTGATCAATTCGTGCGCGAGTTGCGGGAGTTTGTCCGAGTTCACAAGTGCATGCCCATAGACAACTGTGCTAAAGAGAGTTCCAAAGCTTCATTGGCCCGAAGGCTGCAAGCTTTGCTGTCTCCCGAGCGCAGAGACTTTGAGAGACGCCTCCAAATCCTGGCAAAGGAAGGCCCCATCGTCGCGAAATGGGCGATGTCAAGGCGAGCACGAAAGCCTCGGCTGTTTGTGAGTAACTGGCGGCGGCAACTACAGAAGCTACGGGAGTTTGTGAGGATGCACAGCAGAATGCCGCGCTCGACGCTCCTGGCGGAGCGGTCTGTGTACGTTTGGTCGCTCAAGCAGCGAAGCCTACTGGATCGCCTCCCTGCCGAGATTCGAGCAGAGCTGCTTGGCTCTCACCCCGAAATCGCATCTTTCATGCAGGGGTGACGATGTTTTCGGACGTGGGGACTAGCCTCGCGGCCTTGATGCTTCGGCCGTTTGCGCAGTGTGGAAAGTCGAGACTATGCGGCACCTTAGCCTTAATGCGGCGGCCTTGCAGTGCTTGCAATTCCCGATGCAGACGGTTTGGAATTCGTCTTGCAAGCCTTTGAGGGCTCGTGAGACGGCCTGCGAGTGACGGCTGCCGCTTGTAATTAAGTTCGGCCCAGGGATGCCTGCGGCCTAGAACAACGGCAAGTCCGACCGACGAGATCGGAAGGCTTGGTCCTGGAAACAAAGAGCACCAATCGGCTCTCAGCCTGTGAAGTCAGGGCACTATAGGGGCCTTAGTAATTACCTATCCTATTTTTGGGGTTCCTTTTTTTGTTGTTATGTTTATTACTATTGTTGTTACTATCGTGTAGTGGGCCCCAAAACCCTGTTCGAATTGTTGAGGCCCTACTACATCAACCGCAAGAGTGGCAACTCAATGAGGACTGGAAGATCCAGTGTTGGAGACACGCCCCAGCACTGTTTTTTGTGACCGCGGTTGAAAGTGGAAGGAGAGCCGGAGCATTTTGTATATCATCGGTTCTGCAGACAGCAACGGCTGGATCTCCTGGCACCGAAGCTCCGAGCAGTCGCATGTTTCCTGTGGAGATGCTGGGTGCAATGGTGACGTCGATGGCGCTGCTGGTGGTGATGATGAGGATGATGGAATCTGGGCTTTTGGCGATGATGATAATCATGATGCAAAGTGTAACACGGTCACGTAAGTTCAGGGGGAAACGAACATAAAAGAAACACAAGCTGGCTCGCATCCGAAACTCGGAGCATCACCTGGAGCTGCATATTTACTGCATGTCCGGAACCTCTCAGCACCCAGAACCTTAAAATCCGCTTTCAAACTCTTGTAAAAACGAAGATCCTCTTGAGGCACTTTCCAAAACTTCTGTCAGTGCCCTGAAGAGGTTTAGAGTGTAGGAAAGCAGGTGGTTCGGCGAGAGCATCGCAGGACCCTTGGATGAGCCGGGGACTTAGCAGCCACATTCTGAGTTTTATTTTAGGGCTGTGCGGTTTTGGGCGGAGGGTCTGGCGGTTTCGAGTTTGTCTAGGATTCCTGGATCTTTGCTTTTGCCGCGAGAATTTAGATGATCAGCGTTGCAGCTTCGATGATCATGGTGTTGAAGGAAAAGCTGGTAGTGACGATGATGCTTCCCACAGTGTCGAGGATGAACAGGATTGCCACGATCGCAGGGCTGGCGATGGTAGTTGTCATGGTTCCAGTGATGAGGGTTGGTTCGGTCAAGCGGTCGTAAGACCGCCTCCGATTCATAATGAGAGTTCGCATGGTTTGCCAGCAACTCATTGAAGAATCAACATTGCACACATGATCTGTTCAGCGTTGTTGTCTCAGCCTGCCCGCTTGCCGATGCTGATGGCACCAACAGCCGCAGCCTTCACGGGCTTAGGTCGAAGCTGACCTTGTCGTACGTCCGATGGCTCCACACAGCCCTACACCCCCGAAGCCCCAGAGTCAAGGAGTTTTATCCCAAAGCGACTAAATCCCTCAAACTCCTCGTCCCTATGCCTGAACATCCTAAACCCCCGGACCCTACACTCTTGAACCCTCGACCCAGAAACCCGAAGAAGCGCTATTGTCGCCTAAGGCTCATCCGCGAGGGCCTGGAGCTTGGCGTTCACGACGAGTACGATCTCTCGAAAAGTCTGTGTCGTTGTCACACCAGGCATTTGGCTCTCCCTCTCTCTATGCCTCTTTGTCTCTCTCCTCTCTCTCTCTCTCTCTCTCCTTATGGCGCCCTATGTACACATACCGTATATATATATATATACACACAGAGAAAGCGTCGCACTGCAGGCCCGAGTTTTGAAGCTTTCTTTCTGTGTATATATATATATATATGTGTATGTATGTATATATGCATATACACATGTATTGTATGTATGTGTGTGTGTATATATATATATAAGTATGCGCGTGCATACAGATGCATATGTACCTAGATCTTGCAGAACATGCATACATCATTGCATGCATACATGCGTGCATGCGTGCATACATACATCCGTACATGCATACATGCATGCATGCATGCATGGACATACAGGTACGTATGCATGCGTCTTTGCAGCGTTCATCTTTGTTGGACGTGAGGCTTACATCTCGAAGGTGCCTTGTGGTCAAGAAACGAAGCTGAAAGCCCCAAGCCCTGAATCTCTATACCTCACCCAAACCTGGACAAGTCCTAAACACCCCAAGCCCAAAAGCGCTAAACCCTAAGATTCGACAGAGCTGGTGCTTGAGGCTCGTCTTCAAACCTTGTGAGATCCATCTTCCACAGCTGCCTCGCTGTTGCTCAGTTTTCAAGAGCTCCTAAAACATCTCAACAACACAGGCTTAGCTAGATTAGCCATGGGCGTTTCAAGGCTTTCGGGCTCAAACGTGGGTCGTGATTGATCATCCAAACGCCCTGCAAGACCTACATCCTAAACCTTTGAGGCCGTGTAGTGGCTCAGCCTGTGAAGCCTGGCTCCGTCAGCGAGGCTCCCCGCCCCGTCGACAGCGCTTCCACTATGTTAAGGGGCAATGAAGTTCAGGCTATGCAGGGCGGATAGGGCTCTGGGTTTTTAGATGCTGGTTCCAGGTGTCAAGGCCTGGGAGAAGGGATGCGGTTTAGGATTTGAGCACTTATTAACTTATTAGTACGCCAGTCAACGATATAATATGAACGTTACCCCAGAAAAGCGATACCCTAAGCCTGTTCTGTCGCCTGTCGCATGGTCGGGTCTAGCAGCATACCACTACAGGAGTGGCTGCATGTGGGCCTTTCGAAATCGAGGGGTCCGCTTGTTTCGAAGATCCAACAATCTGCCGTAGTTACGGTTTACAGAAAGGCCTAACAAAGCCCGAGGATCCTTATCGTAAGGCGTCGAAAGCGTCAATCAAGTGCTTAGCCCTAGAAGCCTTACTTACCGCGCAACAGCCCTAAATCCTAAAACCCTTATATAACTCCCTGGATTGCAAAGCAATGACGCCGATTGCACTCCGGCAGGCCGGCACCATGCTGCGCATTACACAAGGCCAGCGATCTGGGGGCCCGAATTGCGGAGCCCAAACCTCAAACCGAAACTCTAAACCCGAACCCAAAACCTAAAGCCCGGCTGCCTTAGACCTGAAACCTCAAGCCTCTAACCCGAGGGATAAATATCCACACTTGAGGCCCTGAACGGTGTTTGGGACCCCTAGACAGCCCAGCAAAACAAAGACGCATAATAGGATGCCTTTGGTGCTGTTTCCGCTTTTTTGAGGCAAGAACAGGAAGCCCCCGAAGGAGGAGGTCAGCCTACGCGACATTGACCCGGTGCAGTTTCAGGCGAGGTTTTACACTCCAAACTTCGCTTTTGTTGAGGCTTTTCAGGAAACATAGAGGAAATCATGGTATTTGATGGCCATCGCTGTCCTGCTAGTTGAATGAACAAGATCCTTGCAAGAACCTAGCAAAGCTTTTGCCTCGAAGCACCGAGTAAGCGGCTACCAACCGAAGCCCGAAATTCAAGCCAGGCTTCCTGTTGGGGTTTGGGGTTTGTACGGTTAGGGTTAGGGGCAGTTTAGGGTTAGGGCGTAGGGTTTGGGGCTATTAGGGCTTAGAGTTAGATTAAAGGGTTACGAGTTTAGGCTTCTCAAAGTGCCTCGTCAAGGGCTGCAGCTTGGAATACATATTTTTCTTGCACTCTGAATAGTCCTTTTGGGGTATTGGGTGTTGGATTACTCTCGTCGTCTATCCTCATCCTCGGATTTGTTGTCCCTGGCACGCCTCACAAGCACATGAGCAGGTCATCGTGCGGGGGAACTCCAACCCTTTGGAGACGCCTTGGGCTCAAGGGCTTCCTGCGTTTAGGGCTTTAGGGTTTTAGCATTTTAGGGCTTTAAGGCTTGAGGGCTTTAGTGTTGTAGGGTTTTTTGGGCTTTAGTGTTTCAGGGTTTTAGGGCTTTAGGGCTTTAGGGCTTTAGGGCTTTAGGGCTTTAGGGTTTTAGGGTTTTGGTGTTTTAGGGTTTTGGGTTTGGCAGTGCTTTCCAATATTATTACTGCCTCGAGGTCCGCTGGACGGTTGCCGGTCCATATTGAACCGCTTGTGGCACTGCAGGGACTTCCAAAACTCCCTAGAAATCTAGTGGACGATTCCCGGTCCATGTTTTAGTCACGTGTGGAGTTGCAGAGACTTCCAAACCTGCCTAGAAAGCCATTGGACGATTGCCTGTCCAGTGCCCACACTTTGTTCCTCTTCTGCCAGACCCTCATTCCCAGAAGTAAACATCCCGACGTTTGATCGAAATAGGGCTCCTCGCCAGGCCTATTGACGGCCTCTCTGCATGGCCGAAACTTGTTGAACTACAACACGATCCCAGCACAGTATTGAAGAATGGTCAGCCAGCTGGTCCCTGGAGGCGAACGAGGCTTGAAAGCGAAAGCGCGTAAGGATTTGAATAGCGCTTCGGGGTCATTTTAGCCTGTAAGTCTAGTGGGGACTGTAAGGAGATACTGTTGATGGACAATATTCTGCATGACCCAAATATGGTCTAGTACCATAAATCCCATAGTTTAGGTATAATAAGGTCATGCAGGATTTTGTCCATCAACCGTAGTCTTGCTAGTTCGGTCTCGGATGCTTACCCGTCCCCGTCACATCATTCAGGGCAACAGAGGACCTTCCCTACACCCTAAGGCCCTAAACTTTAAGGGTTTAGGGTTTAGG